GCAGGTGTTCCAACTGTACCAGGAAGTGATGGATTAATACAGGTATCTACTTTAACCTTAGGTATTATAAGTTTCAACACCTCCAGGAATGGGTAGTCATATAATTGATTTTACGTTAATTGTAATCATTTTTCCTTCACAGAGCACAGAGGAAGGAATCAGGCTTGCGGATGAGATTGGTTTTCCTGTTATGATCAAAGTAAAGTATCTTGTCCTATTATGTTTTATGATAATTAAAACTCATTGTACCTTGCTGTGTCATAGAATTTACAGTGCTCACCTTTTAATGTTAACTGTGAAAGTTCAAAAGTTAACCGTATTCCTAATTTACCAAGTTTCTTTTCCCGTTCTATAAAAAGGAAACTAATGATTTAATATAGTAGAATTATTTCTTTAACTTTTTTCAATTGTAAATTGAAGTTAATTGAGAGGAACACATGCCTATTACATAGAATAGCTGCTCACAAATTGTATCTGTTTGACACTACCCAATTTCCTTGTTATAACGCTAAGCTGTGAAGATGTACCAACTCAATGAAGCTAGAAGAAAAGTTTTGCAGGTTTTAGTTTTGAGTTTGAGTCAAGCATGGAGTTTCTTACAGAAATTTAAGTTTGTTGCTTAGTTCCTAGTAGTTATAGTGAGTTGTAACTGTTACCTCCAATCTTTGGATGAGGCCGTTTCATCATTTGGTAAAAATAAATCTAAACGATCTCAGTTACTAGTGAGCTATATTTAAATTCTAATGAATCAGATGTAAGACTTGAATGAACCAAAAATAAAGTTTCATGACAGGAATGGCTATTTAGTATTCTGGTGTTTCATTAATATTTTCTTTCAAACTCTGAGTTAAGGAGAGCCAATATAGAATTTTGTCTGTTATTGTTTCTGTTAAATGATAAGCATGTTTTGCTATTTAAGGCCACAGCAGGAGGTGGAGGACGTGGTATGCGTCTTGCTAAAGAACCTGAGGAGTTTGTGAAGTTGTTACAGGTACTGCACCCAATGCCTTGTCTTCTTATTTTGTTACTTCGCTGATTCCTTCTTTTTTTGTTTGTCTTCTCTAAAAGTGTTTCTTCGTTCATCTTCAGAGATATGGTTTTGTGTTAAATAAAGTTATCACTATAAATTGTATGGTTGGGTTCTTAGTTTAGTTGGTCTTGTTATCTTTAAATGAATATTAAATTTTTGTAATACATTGCTGCTTCTGTCTTCATATTTTTCTGCCTCAATTTGATTGTTTGCAGCAAGCAAAGAGTGAGGCTGCAGCTGCTTTTGGAAATGATGGAGTTTATTTGGAAAAGTACATCCAAAATCCTAGACACATTGAGTTTCAGGTAATGTGCTTGTAAAAGTTCCTGATATTGTTTATGGTGATACATCGTATGTTCTGGATTATTGTTAGTATTCATTTTGACATTTGATGCCAACCTGCAATCTCTTGATTTCTCCCTTGTAAAAACAGGTTCTTGCAGATAAATATGGCAGTGTTATTCACTTTGGAGAGCGGGATTGCAGCATCCAGGTACTTTATCCAGCCTTATTAGTTGCATGAATCACTGTGAAAGTTTATTTCTATTATTAGAATACAGCTGTCTTCTAGTTATTATCCATTTATCCTCTATTCTTTTCCGAGAAATGCAAAACTCAATGACACCTGCCAAATTGTTTACATGTTTTGAATGTAACATTCACAGAGAAGGAACCAAAAGCTTCTGGAAGAAGCACCTTCCCCTGCATTGACCCCAGAACTGCGGAAAGCTATGGGTGATGCAGCAGTTGCAGCAGCAGCATCGATTGGCTACATTGGTGTTGGAACCATTGAATTCCTTTTGGATGAAAGAGGTTCCTTTTACTTCATGGAAATGAACACTCGGATTCAGGTTAAACTAATCATTATAAGTTTTGAGGATTGCTTTGACTGGTATTAAAAGTTTGCGTAGCTATGCTAAACTAAAATATTTTTGCCCATGGAACCACAGGTTGAGCATCCTGTGACAGAAATGATTTCCTCTGTTGACTTGATTGAAGAACAAATTCGTGTGGCTATGGGTGAAAAACTCCGATACACACAGGTAAGTATGGTAGTGTAGTTTTTGAGACAGATTTGATGCTTTCTGTTCAATGTCTGACGGAGATGATTCCATCTACAGGAAGATATAGTGCTCAGAGGACATTCAATTGAATGCCGTATCAATGCAGAAGACGCTTTTAAAGGATTCCGACCTGGGCCAGGTATGTCCTTGGTTATTGCTTAGTATAGCATGACACTAATGCTACATTTGGTCTTTTTCATTATTCTGTATTGGCTGGCTCTATGTGATACCGCCAAACCCTGATGATATAGGGTTCTAAGTTAGTTCAGTACTTAAAGAATTCCATTAATTTAACTCGGGTTGCGCATGCACAGGATTAACAATGACATTATGTAGTCATTCTATTTTTTAATACATCATCTTCTGCCTTTTTTAACAGGAAGAATAACAGCCTACTTACCATCTGGAGGTCCCTTTGTTAGAATGGATAGTCATGTTTATCCTGATTATGTGGTTCCTCCAAATTACGATTCCCTTCTTGGAAAGGTTTGTGGCCCATATACATCAGCAATATGAAATTATAGCTTTCAGGTTTATTGATCCAAATTCTAGTAACTGAGGCAATTATTGCTCCCTTGGTGTAGCTTATTGTTTGGGCACCAACAAGAGAAAAGGCAATTGAGCGAATGAAGAGGGCTCTTGACGACACTGTCATAACAGGTAAATAGTAATAAAGTTAATTGGTGAAATCATTCATTATGAGTTACTTTTTATGTCAGCATGATTGAACTTTGTGTAGAAAAAACAGTGTGTGAGCCAATTGAATTTAAGCTGTGATATTAATAGAATCAAGGTTGAAGTTTCAGGTTGCTTTAATTCATGTTGTAAATCTAGAACATTCCTTTTTCATTGTTCATGGCAGTTGATGTAGTTATTGCCTTTGTTCCACAGGGGTTCCCACAACCATTGAATACCATAAACTTATCCTTGATATAGAGGATTTCAAAAATGGCAAGGTCGATACTGCTTTTATTCCAAAGCATGAAGAGGAGCTACAAGCGGTAAGAAGATAGTCTAACCCGGAACACAAATTTACTGGCAAGCCTTCGATTTTCCATCATGGGTTCTCATATTTACTAATGCCTCTTTCATGTGCCAACAGCCCCAACATTTGGTGCCTGCAGCCGCTGCCAAGAACTAGCCGGTGCATCTGCTTACATGGATGGCTTTCGAATTGCTACTATCTGGTCTAGTCGACAACATTAAAACGGATAATCTTTTGCTTTTTTATATTTGAGTTATTCTAAATTGTGGCATTCTTTTACTTGATGGAACTAGTAACACTAGTGACATGCCTGGCATGTGAGTATTTCATTTGAAATTTTGACATGTTCATTTGTTCCGGTTGGGTACACAAACTTGTATTGGGTTGTGCAAACTATTTATATTAAGCAAGATCCTTTTTCATAATTTAGGTTGAATCCTAATACCATTTTTAAGGTTTCACTTTTTGCTGGATTTTATTTTTCATTTTTGAGAGAGGTGAAGACGAGGCATTGATATGGAGTCTCTCTGATTACCCAACTAAGCAATTTGTGAACGTCTAAGGAAGAGTGTTAAAGAACATTTGAGTCCTTCCACTAATTGGTGTAACTGTTGTAATGCGTAGGCCATTGATTTCTCGTCTGAATAGGTCATTCGTTCTTCAATTGATTAATCAGTTGATTCTCTCTATTGAATTAAGGGTATTTGTGTAATTTGTCAGGACAGCCACGCCACTACATAAAAGTGGTTATACCTCACATTTTAACACATTCTCTAATAAATGAGATTAACCAAATTCCAACAACAACGAAATGAGGGGAAAACTAGGGTTAGTGTTAGGGTTTCCGATTGGGAATTTGGAGCACAATTGCTCGATCCCCGTTTGCCTAATCAGTTTTGTTGAGTCGTTCTTGGTAACATGTGTTGGCGCTTGGGGGGGAAAACCGAGTAAGAAATCTAGAGCTAATTTGAGATTCTGTTGACGATTAAAATCCAACTATCATGATTACAATTTAGGGTTTGTGGATGTGGTTTACTCGATCTTTCAATCGTAATCATGAGGATGTTCAAATTCAACTGTTTTCTCGCCGATTCGCGTTGCCTTTGCTTAGGCATAGCTATTGTGTGCAGCATTATTGACGATGCACAGACGTTTGAGAGCCCCAAGGCTCGTGGCAAAAATGAAAATGAAAAAAATAAATTGTCATAAACAAATTCAAGATGTACATCACAATTTATTATGGGATTTACATGTTAAAATAACAGTGAACTCATTTCATGTAGCTTTTATTAATATAATCGATATTTCTTGTTTAAATAATTGAAATCAAACAAAGAGAAAAAGTTGCATAAATCGATTTATACAGAGAATCTAAAACTTCAAAATTACTATCCTCAAAATCACTATCCTTCCCTCAAAAAGAGATTATTTTGTCTATGATGGCGACTTGATGTTTTAGCCAGAATAGTACGTAGGAGAAAAATTGCATGATAAGAGTTTGATTATTGGGGTGTAGGTTTATTAATAAAGTTTTAGTTTTATTGTTAATTTAATCCTATATTTAATGGTCGTTATGTAATTGGGGGTGGGTTCGGTTTCATTTGGTTGGGTTTAGTTTTCTTTCGATTTTTGGTTTGTTTGATTCGGTTTCGGTTTTTTATTTTATAAAACTTGATCTTTCTTTAATATGAAAATTAGAAAAGACGCTTGCATTTGTAGACTAATAATAAGAAAATAGGAAAAGTGGAAAGATAGAGTTGTACATTTACTTGATCATATAAGCCAAACATATTCTATCAATAACTTCAATTGCAAAGAAAAATGATCACCATATCCATTCCAAAAACAAACAAATAAAGAAGTTCTTTTAAGTTCCAAAGTCCTCCAAAACTTTCTTTTATAACCAATCGAATATCGTCCTAATTGAATCAAGTATGCTCCTTAAGAAAACCCTAGTCTTAATTTCAACCTCGGCAACAAAGATTAACAAAAGAAACATCATAGATATACATTCATAAAATGTAAAAAGATTCAATTTGGTTTGATTCAGTTTAGTTTTTGAAGCTCTAAATTTGAAACCGAACCAAAAAAGTTCGGTTAGGTTTTTTTTTTATTTTTATTTTTTTTTTTTTTTTTTATTCCGAAATATATTCCCCGTTTTTGGATTGTGATTGTGGATTTCAGAGATTCATATTCCTTGCTGCGTTTCATTTGATCAGCGCACACATAGCGCTCGTAAGATTTCAGAGATTCTCGAAGCCCTAAAAGGAAAACCAAAAAGAAAGATGATACGAACTCGTTTGGTCTGGTTCGGTGTTGGGTTTTCGCTGACAGGAGCTGCAATTTCTCACCTCGTGTGGAAAGATCTTCTCGTCGACCGTTTCGCTCTTTCCTCTGATGTACGTAACCCATCAACTCTCGTTGTCTCTCTCTCTCTCTCCCCCTTTTCAAAGGTTTCATTTTTTGTTCTATGGGGGATTTTGTAGGTGAAGCAAAAGTTTGATGCTCTTGAAGGTAGAATTGTGAACCTTGAGCGTTCTTTGTCACCAGACCCGAATCATCATCCCGCTCAGGTATTAATATTTATTTACTTTTAATTTCGTTGTTTTAATCTAATCTATTGTATCTGTGATTTGGTTGAATTTCTGATAGTTTTATACATTGGCATCCGACCCCTTCATCGCAATTATTTTCAGAAATGATTATTACCCAATACCCATCTCAACAATTTCAAAATTATCGCAAATGATTATGATATGTTCAATTTACCAATGTCAACGATTTTCTATGTGGGTTTTGGTCATAAGTGCAATTAAAAGAAGCAAGTTTACATTTTTGACATGAATTTCGGGAGTCAATTGCAGCACATCGTGACGTTACTTGGGTCTGTACAAAATGGGAATAACTGAAAAACCAATGTAGATTGTTCATTGTTATGATCTAGGCATGTGAGGATGTGGGCAGTTGTCCTACATCGAAAAGTTAAGGGACTTTTGCATGGTTATATAAGGAGTTGGGCTACTACTATTGCCAGTTGGTTTTAGGGTCGAACCTCAACCCTTTTAAGCCTCTTTCCAGGCATAGAAAGGATGTTGGCCTTGGTTATTTATTCTTTTCAACAAAACTAGGCAGAAAATCTTTATAATATGCATTTGCTGATATAATAATTTATAATGGGGTGTGTGTGTCAGTGAGTAAGTCGATCGGAACCTAATGGAGCCATAAAGTAGATTTCTAAGAGGAGCATTTTGCAGAAAGTTATGGATGGAAGATTTTAGTGCTATGTGAACTCAGAGCGTAGTTAGAGAGTAAAATCAAAGAAATGGAAAAAGTTATGACTATAATTCCATGCTTGGTAGATATCTGAAGTTTGAACTAAGAGAAATAATCAACACTACTGGCAGGAAAAGAGCTTTGATGGGCTTAATAGTGGAGATTGGACGCACATGAACTTTGGAAGGGTAATTGATGTTTATAAAAGCTCCTAGTAGACATGCATATCACTACCCATCTTACTCTATCTTATAATTGGTATTGGTGTTTTCATTCTATTTTAAAAAAGCATATCTGTGAAACATCAACAACAACAAAGCCTTTATCTGTGAAACATCAAATAAAGCATTTCATATAATAATTCATTTTGACTATGAAATTGCGCTTCCCGTAGCTGACCACTTATGCAGTGATTTGGAGTCATATTTCTGTTGTGTTCCATTTGTATCATGGTTTATGAGTTCTTAAAATGGGGATGTGGGTTAACTGATATCAGATGAACAATCTGTCGTGTCTGGTTAGCTTCCACGATATTGGATGATTTTTTCGTATTAGAGGAAGTGAAGTTGCATGGTCATAAGTAACCTAGTGGTTTCAAGTTGTCTTCTCTATGCAGTGTTAGTATATGAGCCATGTCCTGCTGACAGCCTCGTGGGGGTGGGAAGGCTGATAATTTGGCGCAGTTGAGAGGAAGTAAATATATGGGATTCACTTGGCATAGGCTTAATTACTGCTTCCAGAATTAACGAGAAATTTGTTGGGTTTTTCCAACCATGATGAGTTGTCTAAGTCTATTAGATTTATAGTCTTAGAGGATTAAATTGTTTACCCAATTGGAGTTGGTTTCCCAATTGAAGTTGTTTACCCAGTTTAAATTGTTTTCTCATATTAAATTGCCTACCCAATTTTAATTGTTTACCCAATTGAAGTTGCTTACCCAATTGGAGTTAGTTTCTCAGTTAGAGAAGGATTCATTACTAGATTCCAATTAGGACTAGTAATCGTTATTGAAAAAGACCTTTATTATGTCTATATAAAGGGGCTGTTTCACTAGTTTTGAATTGGAGCAAAACAATAAGTTGTGTACCGACTCAAGGTGTCAAAGAGTGAGAGATGGGCAAAGTGTGTGCAAAAGAAAATAAAGGAGATAAGAGTGTACTAGTATCTTGTTCTTGTCTTTTAGGTTTTTCGTCAAGTCTAATCCTAGAGGCTTGGCAAGATTATATGTTGTACTCATTATTGATATAGTGAAAGATTGTTGTTGTTGCCCCGTGGCCGTAGGCATATATAGCTAAGCCACAGTTAATTCTTGGTGTCATTTGTCATGGTTATTTTGTTTTCAATTTCTGAGTTTTTTCGTCTTCTATTTTTCCTTCTTAAACGCGATGTTCACAACAAAATTTAATAGAGAATCTTATTATTTCCAACATGGTCACCAATTGTCATCTGATTCTTTGAGAGTGCTCATAAAATTGATTTTTTGGATCCATCTTCTAGTCTAACTTTATTATTTTTTGAACAACTGATTTAGTGATTGCATTTGAATACTATTTGGCAGGTTGAGGACTAGATTTTACTTGGAGCTCGATGAAGTTTTCGCTTGCCTCTTTGTTGTTGATTTTCTTTGGTTTTTTATGCTAAGTTGAACTTGATTCATAGAAAACATCACAATGTACTAGCTCCCGACGTCGAAGTCTAAATGTGATTGTTTTACTAATTGCTGCTCATTAACTACAATGCAATTCATTATTTGTTAAATTGGTGACAGCGTTAAATGATTCAAATTTAGTGGTCAAAATTTAGCAAAAACTTGGTCGATTAGTGTTTTATGAAGAACACATGTCGTCTTATTCATGCAAGGATGAGTCTTTGTAGAATGAGAAGTTATTTTTAGGTTTTCGGGATTAAAAGAATTCGATTGGAATTGACTAGTAATTTGAATTGGTAAAGAGTACGTAGCTGGGTTGGTTCGTTACAATGAATTTCTTCCGTGTCGTGTTTGACTCTAAAACGCTTGTTGACAAGACAGGATATTTCGGTTGGCAGAGTTGTCCAATAAATGGACTGCAAATTGGCTGGACTTTCACTGGCTTAAATATTACCATATAAATAGACTAGGCCGAATCATGTCCACAGAAACTAGCAGATCATCCCAAAAAATGGGGTGGCCTCAATATTACATATCGTTTAATGTTGTAAGTATTTTAGCTGTTAAAAAGTTGATTGTCACATCTGTTAAGATATATTGTTTTCAATATCAATCATTCATTTCCGCATATTTCAATGCAATGTAGTTTTGAAAAGACTTCTAAAATAAAAATGATACAAAATCCATACGATTAAAACAATACTTAATTAACACTACGGTCTAATGACGATCTTCTCCATTTCTAGATAAGAAGTTTCAAGGATAGCGAGTTTGAAACATAATTATTATAACTGACTCAATGCATGACAGACTTAACTCCAAATCCCCCATCTTCAAAGTTGGTAAAAATCTCCCCCTCAGGTTATATGATTTCCCAATTTCTCAATACAACTTGTCCAATCCTTTCTTGCAAATTGAATTGTAAAAAAATTCTTGCAAATTGAATTGTAGACTGTATAGAGTGCCTGCTTGAACCTTGTCCCAATTTATTCGTATCATCTTTCCCATCCCTTCTTGTATTATTTACTACATAGGTATTGGTACTTTCATGCCACAGCAACCCCGGATAAGAAGACGAGCGGACCGGAGCAGGGAGACACCGAGTACTCAAGCGATTTCAATGCTTCGGATCTGCACTTCTCTTTATGATCATCGCTTCGAATGTGCTTGTCACGGCACTCGGCGCTGCAAAATGCTTTCTCACCCCTGAAGAAAGAATCTAAGTTACATCAAAGGATATAGAAGATGCCAAGCATATTGCAAAGACCCATCCCCCATTTTCAAATTGACTAGTTCATAGCCCTACCATTCGGAAAAAACAAAGTCAACACCAGATGCAGTAGCAAACAAGGACCACAATTCTGAAATAAAGTTCTTTCGCTATCTATCGTAAAATATCTCAATTACGAGATCTAAATACTCAGAAATTGAAACAAAAACAAAACCAGCTGGAATTTTCTCGATCAATAATTGCATCAAAATATCTCACCAGCATGGAGTTTGGAATCTTTCTCCAATAGTGTTCTCTCTATTAACATAATGCGTATGTCCTTTCGGAAAGCTGCACTTTCAGGATTCTAAGACTTTGAGAATTTTCACACATAATTCATCGATGAGCTTTCTATGAACTGTGAACTAAATTTCCAATAGAGGCTCATCCGATTTCAAAAGATATCGTAAGATATTACACCATCTAAGGCAATTTCTCACAGCGTTTGTGCAGGAAAAAGAAGAATTTAAGTACATAAGAGAAAGCAGTAGAATTATTAATTGTTAGTACGATTCTCCAAATTATGAATGCTACACAACTGAAAGGCCACTGATTCTCCAACTTTTGCTCAGAAGTTAAGAAGAGAACAACTTTGCTCACTACCTTCAATTAATGTACAACTTCACCATCCTACTCAATGCTATCTACGTGTAACTAGCATGGTTTTATTTATTACAAAAAACTTAACCATACACTATGTATAATAGGCAGACCCGTTCTCCAAGACCACATGGTCCAAGGAAATTGTGGTCACCCAACGTTTGATCTTAATCCAACAATCGGTGGTCATTTAACTTTTGTTGTTGTAATTTCTCCTCCACTGTTGGAATAAGATCAAACGGTGGGTTACCTCAATTTTCTTGGACCATGGGGTCTAGGGGAACGGTACTTGTATAACAGGTGGATCCATTAAGTAGAGTGGTGATCCTACACCATGGTAAAAGCAGTGACCAATTTTTTTATTTTTTTTCCAAAGGAAATGACCACTTTCTTATAGGAGTACTAGTAAGAAAGTTATAATAATTAATATATACGCACATATTAACTCGACGGAATCTTTAATACTATAAAACCAAATGACTGCAATCAAAGATGTAACTTGTAAGTGTTCATTAAGGAAACAGCTTGGAGCTGGCATTCCATCCTAAGTTTCTAAAGATGCATGTTCCAATGAGTCTCAAGAGAAAACAAACATGGCATTACTTCTTAAGCATGCAACAGTCTAATGACATCAAATTAACAAACTAATGATTGGTGTACAGCCTGGCATAAATAATTATACTGATATATTCACAAGATCAAGACATTGTCACTAATGATTTTGCTTAATTTTCTGAAAATGAATCGGTTTCAATACAATCAACGAGAACCTAAGTTAAGGACTTGAGAGCGAAAACCAATCCACAAGCTACTTATTGATGCTAGAGTACTTAAGTCCAACAGAGAATGACCGACTTAAATTACTTTTCCTGGCATACTTGTATCTTACTCTTCAAAAGCTTACTGAGAGTACCATTACAAGTTGGCACAACGACAACACCAGAAATGGAATATCAGCTTAACCAAGCTGTACATTTCGTCGAGGACAATAGAGAGAACACAACAATCACATAAGGATTTCCAGTAACATTCTGAAATAATACTTAAAACCTAAAATTATTCTCAAAAGAAAACAATATTTGAACATCTTCTGCATGAATTCAAGCACACAACGTAAAGGACCAAAGGAGATGACCTAATACGGGAATAAAGTGATTCAAGTACCATTCAAGGACAAACCATAACTTAAAACAGTTAAACCTCAAAATCATGCCACGAAAGGTAACCCTCTACTCAAAAGAAAAGATTACTAATATGGGGAGAAATGATAAAGCTGCTGATGCAGATCCATGAGTAACATCCTCCTGCCTAGACCGACAGCTTACCATAGATCAAAAATTATGTAAAGGATTGGCCAGTTTGTTCAGCATCTACGGTATCATTCTTGAACTTAAAATCTACTTGTAAACTTGAACAAAACCGATGCATCATACATCTCCAAGAATTGGTCAATTCATCCATGCTAATAAAACAACCATCAGCCTAAGTTCAAATCCATTCAAAACACAATCTCCCACTAAGACAACATAATCAATATGCCAAACATTAGCCCGTAATCAAAACCATCAACATGGTTCAAAATCCACAATTTCCTAAATCATGCTTCACCGAAATGAATAATCAAAAGGGATTTAATTCATAACAATACATCAAGAGAACTTAAATACATATGTAAGTATATATGTGTGTATGTATGTATGACTTTTGTTTTTCTTTTACCTGTACATGAAAATGTCCAGCCCATGAAGCTGCTTCTTGCAAAGATAACAACTACTGAGAAAATCCGAGGCCCAAAACTCTCTTCCCACTTCACCAACACTCAGTGGAGAAACATAGAACACCCCAGAGGCCACCACCACGCCAGCATTAGGATCATCCACAACCCCACTCGGCTCATCATCGAAATAAACCTTTTTCGATGTCAAATTGTTTCCGAAATGCGAAATCACACATGTATAGCTCTCGGACAATTCATCCACCACAGCCCCTGCCCTCTCCACACAAAATCCACCTCTGAAATTAGCTGCAGGCTTAGCTGCAGAGACTATGGGGATTGGGCTCGACCTAGGCGACTTGTCAGACAAAGCCACTTCATTGGGTTTGCCCAAATCAGTCATGGCAGCCACTATTCCAAGCCCAACAACCCCCTCTTGGAAATTTCGGGGGGATTTGATTGAATTGGGGCACTTGTCAGAGGAAATTGACTCGGAAAAAGTAGTAAAAAGTGAGAGACTGATTGTGGGTCGCTTTTTCCCGGAAATGTTCTCCATTTTCCGGGAAAATCTGCAACTGGGTTATGTTCAGATTCCCTTATTTTTGCTAAATTGAATGATTTGTGATTTTTTTTTAGCTGAATTAAAGGTGGGATTGTCGAAAAAGCAGAGGAAGACCGAGTGCAGAGAAAAGGGTTTTTCTTGACTCTTTAGGAAACCAGGAAAGATTGGAGATCTTAACAGAGAGAGAGAGAGAGAGAGAGAGGGTTTTCTGCAAAACTTAGAGGGAGTGAAGTAGAAGCAATGGATTATCCAGCAAGTAGGAAAGGGATTTTTTTTTTATATATATTTTTTGCCAAATTCAGTGCAGCTTTGGTGAGAAGTACTTCCTATCTCTCTCTCTCTCTCAAATCTAAAAACTTGAGTGTTTCTAGAGAGAGAAAGAGAGGGAGAGAGAAAGAGAGGGAGAGAGACAGATGCAGAGGAAGATCACCTTTCAGGTCTCTTCTCTCTGGTCTTCTCTAACGCCTCCGTGGTTTCAGAGGAAAGGGCAAATATAAACACTTTGCTCTACCATTAATAAATTTAATTTTTTTTATTAATTTTGCGAAATAATACAGAAACAATAATTTTCCTTTGTTTTTTTTGGGCAAACATTACAGAAATAATTGACCGCGGACTTCCACAGTATGTAATAATTGGTGGTTGTCACTTTCCTTATTCTTTCTTTTTCTGTTAAATTGCCCCCTCCATGTTTTGGTTAATGAATTATGGCCCTTGAGTTGTTAGATTCTTTTGAAACTTTTTCATTTGTGTCCACACAGAAACGAAATTCAAAATGACTACTATATTTTTTGTTTACCAAACAGTCCATAATATTTGTGAGTGAGTTACTTCAAAAATGAGTTTCGTCCTGTTTGGTTTTTTTGGTTTTTTTTTGAAAATATTGTTTTACGAAGTTAAGCGACAACATTATTTGATAAAATTTTTAAAATCAATGACCTTTAGTTAAAGGTTCAAAAGATTATTTAACTACTGAGAATACGACTCTCGTTTTCTTTTTCTTAAATAATACACAACGTTACAATAGAAGGACTAATGCTTTACATTTTGTCGAAATCAAATTTCAATTTGATGAATTTTTAATTAATTGACCAAATCTAAGTTAAGTAATCATTCGAAATAATCCAATTTTCTTTAAAAAAATAAAAAGAGAGAAGAACAAATGTTACTTTTTCTTGACTATTCTTATTCTTTGTAGCAATTATTGATTTCTAAATTTTAAATATCTCTAGTGGTAATTATAAGTTAATACCACTCTATCTCTTATGAATGACACCTTCTTTGTAGCAATTATTGATTTCTAAATTTAAATATCTCTAGTGGTAATTATAAGTTAATACCACTCTATCTCTTATGAATAACACGTTCGATAATTTGGCTTACCAAGCATTATTTTTTACTCTAGGAAAACTTGTACTTTGAATTGGCTTTTATGTTAGAAGAAAACGTATCAAATCAAATTAAAGATTTTAGGAAGTTTTAACAAAAAATCTACGGTACTGTTCACTTTAACGAAAAACCACATGTTTACACTAAAAAGTCAATCATGGTACTATTCACTTTAGCCTTTATTTTGTCCTTATCATTAAAACTCAAAGTTTTCAAACTACTTCATTAGTTTTCCTAAGATTTTAATGCTAAGAGATTCTCTTAGGTCCCCTAAACAAAACAAACCACCCCCAATCATATCAAATTAAAGACTGATTGCCAGAGGGAGGAAGTCCAGCGTTGGCTGGCGAGCGAGCCCGAGCAGGCCCGAGCTCCAGGCCGGTGGATTCCTGCCAGCCCGAGCGCCCGAGGGCTGTCTGACGTGGGCTGACGTCATACGCCTACCGAGTGAATCAGAGGGCCACCAGACGACTGTACGACCTCCTGAACATCGTCGTTGTCATCCTCTTCTTCGTCATCGTCGTCATCTTCGCCCTCATCCGCGTCGTCATCCTCGTCGGTGTCCTCCTCTTCTTCGTCTACGCTGTCGTCGGATTTGGACTCGGACTCGGACTGCGACTCGTACAGCTCCAATTGCTCGGCGGTCAAAGGCTTAACTTCTTTTTCCTCCACAACTTCCTCCATAGCCTTCATCCTCTCAAAGCTCACACAAATTTGCAGAGAAAATCTCCTCTTTGTATTCTTGAGAAAACGAATTGGGATTGGATTTGGGAAAGTGAATGAGACAGAGGGAGGGAGGGACGAGAGAGGAGCTGCCAATTGGGATTGGATTGCAAATAAAATTATTTTATAAATAAATAAAATACTAATATTTATTACCAATTACCGGGGCTATTCAAGTGCAACGGTGGAGATACAAAATGATACTGTTTATTAATGGTAATTACTGTTCATGAGGTGGATTAAATAGTGAATAGCCAGGGGAAAGGGCTCCTACACTGGAAGTGCTCTAATGCTAAGAGATTCTCTCAGGTCCCCTAAACAAACAATCACATTTGGTTGCATTGGATGAGAAATTTTCTGACCTTCCCTTGAATGACACTTTTCTCATAATAATTCGTCTTTCAGGACACATTTTATTTTTATTTTTTGTGGTAATTGTAGGGTTTGATTTACTCGAGTATAACTCAAGTTGAATACTTTGGGCATGTTTGTTGAAGTTTCGTTGGACTGGCTAGTCAGTGAAATCCCATGTTTGTTTGCAGGGAGGATTAGGTTTAATGAGACCAGGGGACTCGTCCAGACTAAACGCCTCACTAGGCGGTCTTAGCGAGGCTCCTGGAAATTGGACGGATTGCTAAGACCAGCTCCGCTTTGCCCCTCCCTTGTTCACCCCTTCGCAAGTTCTCCACTTCGTATTCGTATCTGCCGACTCCTATTTTTTTTTCTTCCCAGATAACTCCTCTTCCAGCAAAGCCGCCATGGATCCCATTTCCCAGAAAACTCATTTTCTCTCAGAAACTTGTGATCTGAGAAAGCCATTCCGTGGAGTTCTGTAAACCCATTTCGTGGAATTTTGCAGCCTATTCCTTTTCAAAACCAGATTCAACTCCCAAAATTTGAACCGAGAAAATCCAAAAAAGTCAGAAACCCAGAAAACCCAGAAAAGCTACAAACCGAGAAAACCCAAAAACCGAAACCAGATTCAACCCCCCATCTCCCACCTTCAAGCCAATCCCACATGCACCCCACCCAGAATCCTAAATTTTCATTCTCTTTCCTGCTCTTTGGTTTGATTTTAAGATTTGCAATGTATTTGTTAGGAAGCGAAGAGGCCAAGAGGGAGATTGCGAAGAGGCAGAGAGAGAGAGAGCTTTGCAAATTATCTGGGTTCTCATCTTCTAAAAAGAAATCGGCAAACTTTTAGGTGAAACATTAAATAGGGTTCTAAAAATTAAATAACTACTAAATTATATTTTATAATATAAAATTTGTTTGTTTATTGTTTTTCAAGGCAAAAGTAAATTGAAAATGATAAAAAAATAATTTAGTCGATAGTTTAGTCCGGCATTACACCAAACATTTCATTATCATTATCCAATTTAATCCAAGTCAAGTCGATCCAACTTAGTTCCGAAAACTAGTTTAGTTCGAGATAGTACGGTGCAACAAACATACCATTTATATACCGATTGCGTTAGATATAATGGATATAATGTTGAATGTGTTTTATGATACGTGAAAGTTTTTGTGTTTTACTCGCAGTGATATAGTGTTAAATACTTTATGTACTGGTTGCGCTAGAAGCTTTGAACTTTAAAGTTATTTTCTTTTTTGCCAAGAATATAAAAAAGTAGACTAAAATCCTTGGTGTTTTGTATTAACTTCATTTACATAAAACCATCCACTTCATGTTCTTCATTTACATAAAACCACACACTTCATGTTTTTTTTTATTGAGAAACTACTTCTAAAAGGGGTCCAGAGAAATCAACTAACATTGATGGATGTTTTTTTTTTTTTTTTTTTTTTTCTGTTTTTTGTACAAGAGAATATGGAGGGGAGGTTTATATATATTTTAGCTTTGAGCGTGCATGATAGGCTAATAGTAAGTGAATTACCAATAAATCAAAACTATAAACCCATCACTTATAGTAAACAATGCGTTAAAGTATACTTTCAATACTGGAAAATATCATTTCGCTGACAAATTCTAAGCTGATAAAGTAAAATTTTGTCGGCACAAGAGCTTTCACCTAACGAAAGTTTTGCTTTGTTGAGTAAACACACTACGGCTAAGATTTTGGTGCACATTTTTTCCAACAACTTAGGTTATTGCCTACGAAATATTTTGAAGGTAGAGAAGTTCTTAGTCGACAAACTTGATTTCGATGGTGGGAATTTTTCCGGCTTCTTAAAATTTACTTTTTGTTTATTTTTTTTGTCAAAGAAATTTACTTTTTGTTTAGGTCTCGAATTTTCTTCTAATTAAAATGACGTTTGATAACCAATCAACCCTTATTCAGTTTTACCATTTTTTTTTTCTTAATACAACGTGAGAGAATTCGGTGCACAATGAGTCAATCATGATCTGATGTTGTTAGGGCCCAAAAATGTCACACACCAATCCAACCAAGTTTTAAGGCCTAATTGTCATGCAAAGCCTACATTCAGGCCCAAATACATTCCAAGGCACAGGAGTGACGAGGAATATATTTACAAACATGCCATGCCACGGTGATTAAACCGGATATTCACGCCATGCTCATACCTATTCATCACGCCATACTTCCTTAGTCACTATTCATGCTAAGCCCAAGTCACATCGGGGCTTGTCAAGTGAATTGTGGTGTGGATGGTTATGGAAGGTTATCGGGCCTATGTGGAATCGGGATCATGGAAGACATTGGGCTGCTTGGGGCCCAAAGATCCAAGCTCATACCCTTTGTATTTCACGTAGACATCATTGAGAGAGAATTAGCCTAGTTGACCCCTTTCTCTAGCAAGCCAACTCCCTTAGTTAGGATTAAATTAGATTCTTGCATTAAATGCATGTTAAGCCTAGCAAGTCCAGCATTTAATGCCGACTTTCCCTTCCTAGCCTGCATTAAATATCGTTTTCGCTGACAAATTCTAAGCCGATAAAGTAAAATTTTGTCGACACAAGAGTTTTCACCTGAAGAAATTTTTGCTATGTCAAGTAAACACGTATAATGCGGCTAAGATTTTGGCGCACATTTTTTCCAACAACTTAGGTTATTGCATACGAAATATTTTGAAGGTAGAGAAGTTCTTAGTCCACAAACTTGATTTTGTTGGTGGGAATTTTCCTGGCTTCTTAAAATTTACTTTTTTTTTTTTTTTTTTTTTTTTTTTTTTTTTTGTCTTGTCAAAGAAATTTAATTTTTGTTTAGATCTCGATTTTTCTTTTAATTAAGATGACGTTTGATAACCAATCAACCCTTATTCAGGTTTTACCTATTTTTTTCTTAATACAACGTGAAAGAAGTCAGTGCACAATGAGCCAATCATAATCTAGTGTCAAACTTGTCATCCACAAGAGTTGAATTTAAGACCTCCCACTGACAAATA